AAAATTACCTACTTGCCCAAAGTCACACAGCTACTTGGAGGTTTTGGGAAGTTCAGTTCCAGAGTCTGTGACAGTTCTAAGAATAAACCCAATGCTTCTGAAAGACAGGCATGTTCAGCAATGGGACTGAGTAAAGAAACTTCCTGTTCACAAAGCAAAATACTCAAAACAGAAATTGTCCACACTGGAGGAGCCAGGTAATTATCTCTTCTTACACTGATACACATAAAGGATGTCTTTCACAATCCTGTGGAAAAAGTGAAGAGATTTAATGGACATGGCATCAGATCCAGAAGGACCTGTATCTGACCTCAGTTGACTTCTTTAAACACCCTCAGGTGGGTACCAGCACCACACCTGCCCTTTGTGTCTTCATAAGGCCACAGCTCACCTCTTGACAGGACCTCTCAGAGGTCCATGCCTTGGTCCAGCATGTACTAGTCAGAAAGGGTTAGGTTCCTTCTGCTTTTAGATGAAAACTATGCTACTCTTAAGATTGCCAAGAATAGAGTCCAAAGCTTTGTTTTGTTTTTAAATCAACTTCTTCAGTAACATAAGAGCAACCTGGTACCAAACATGGGCAAAACTCAGGACAGGTGATTCACAGGAACTAGAAAACAAACCAGCATGCAAAGGTGTTCAACATTTTGGGCCATTTTGGGAAACATAATTAAAACAATAATGTCTTCTTTGGCCATTAGATTGGCAAAATGAAGATGCACTCTCTTCACTGTTTGAGAGTTAAGGGGAAACAGGAAGCCTCCTTCAGTAATAGAAGGAATATAAACTGATGAAGAGCTCCTGGGGAGCAATCTGTTGATTTAAAATTACTCCTTGTCCCACAAATTCTACTAGAGAGCCACAAGACTGAAGGGCAAGTGCTAACAGTGATGTGGTTCAGAGATTCCTTGCTATTTTTACAGCAGAAAATTGGAAATGGCCTAAATGTCCACCAACAAAAGATAGCTAAGTAAATGGCACACCCCTACTCTGGAATATGGTGCCCCACCCCAGAAAAAGGGCAGACTCATCATGTCAGTACACATAGAACTCCAGAGCACAGCACGAAATTGAAAAAGCAAATCAGAGAAAATTGTGTGTGATGTGACAACACTTATGTTTATGAGAGCATTTTGTAAAATTGTTATTGCATTTTCACTTACTTTTGAGTCTCCAACTCGGGTTTATCAGGCTTGGTGACAAGTGCCTTGCCCACTGAGCCATCTTGCCTTATTGACAGCATCTAGCCACTGAAAAGGTCTAAACACAATGATACAAAGGCTGGCACTGTAGCTCCATGGTAGAGAGCTTCCTGAAACCCTGAATTTGATCTCCTGCACTGCAAACAAACAAACAAACAAATGCATTCCCAATTAGCACACCCAGTGCCCACATCTAAAGTCTAAAGTCACTTTCATGTAAAGGAAACAAGGCTCTGGAAATTGCTGATTCCAAGACTGGTGCAAGGAAAACACAAGTTGAGTCTCAAAGATTGTGTACCAAATTGAAAAAGAAATTCTCAAAGAATGATGGGGACGTGTTAAAAGGAAGGGGCTCCCACTGGCTAAATCTGGACCATTTTGAACAATAAAATGAATAAATAATGACAGTAACAGACTATAAGCCAATGAACAAAAGAAGCTTTCATCTGGGGTTGTAAATCAAAAAGTAAATAAATATTGGAGAAAAGAAAAGTTGTTCTTTTCAGTTCAATTCCAAATAATACATGTGGAAGGAAACAGGAATTAGAAAATCACCATCTGTCAGCTCTCACAGTGATTCAGATAAAACAGCATCAATGGATTCTAAAGTAGTGGCTGAAAAGAATGAGGAATAACAGTGTATTTACAGAGTCTTAAATTCTTTCCCTGGTAGATACATATTAATCACAAAGGGGGAAATGTTACCTTTCAATGAGGCCCATATCATCCTAATTATGTGATCAAAGCTAACCAGGTCAGTGTCATTTAATGAGATGATGGATAGTACCTGCCTCATTTTAGGACTGGCTAACGAGACCGAAAGTCTCTGCTCCTCCTGTCAGACAAGCCAAACCTGAATCTAAATATGAGGAAACCACAAACTGAGGGGTATTATCTAAAATAGTCAGTAGTCTTCAAATATGGCAATGTCCTGAAATACAAAGACGAGTTCAAGGACACTGTAGAGACAACTGAATGCAACAAATAAGCCAGGGTTTTCTTTTGGGATACAGGACATCAATGGAGCAGCTGGTAAGATTTGGATAAGACCTGAGCAAGCAAGAACAGCACTGTGTCAATGCTAATTTCCTGACTTTTAATCACCGTATTGTCTTTACATAACAAGTTTTTGTCTTCAAGAAATACCCAGTGAAGCATCTAAAGGTAAAAGGGTATTCAGTCTACCAGTTTTAAAGTGTTCATTAAAAAATAAGCAGGAGCGGGACATGGTGGCGCACGCCTTTAATCCCAGCACTCGGCGGGAGGCAGAGGCAGGCAGATCTCTGTGGGTTCAAGGCCAGCCTGGTCTACATAGTGAGTTCCAGGACAGCTGGGGCTACAGGGAGACCCTGTCTCTCAAAAAAGACAAAAAAAAAAAAAGCATGAATAAGGAAGGATGATGGGGATACAGCAAAATGTCAACATTAGGAAAATCTGGATAAAGGGCACCGAAGAACTATATTATTCTTACAACTTTTCTGTGAGTCTGAAAATGATATCAAAATACCAAAAAAAATTCATTTAAGAGATCAATGAATACATATACATAGCAATAGGGGTAATTCCTGCAGTCCTCTATGGCCCTTCCTTTTTAAGCAGGGAGACAGGCAAAATGAAGCAATCCTACCTGGCAGTTGCTTTTAGCTCCCCAAAATTTGCTGTTCAGATTATCTCCTCCAGGACCATGATAAAAAGAGGTTTTGAGGGCTCTTTCAGGATCAGCCAATTAACCAAGTTCTACTAAAGAAGCACCAACATAATCCAGCTTTTGCAGATCTGTGCTGTTTTTGCTTCAGTGAAAGTCAAAGCCTCCTGACACCATGAGTACTTGATGGTGCTGTGGGAACTTCTCTGGAATATGGAAGCTGAAACGCAGTTTTCATTAAAAAGTCAAACCAAGATAAAATAGCCTTGGTGGAAAGTTCCCCTCCACTCTGCCTTACTGAGTTCCTGATATGCGAAGCTATGGGGTGGGTATGGAGGCTAGCTGGTCTCTTGGCACCTTCCTAGTCCCCATTCAGAGATGCTGGCTAAGAATACTCTTCCCAGGCAGGCAGCTGGCTAGGGCCAAAAGTTCTCTATTATTTACAAAAAGCTTCTGTGTGTATTAGCTTACTTCCTTAAAGTGATTTTAAAAATTAATATGCATTTTAACAGTAATACGCAAAACATCTAGTTTCCAAAACAAGAGAATAAACTACAATGTATACCCTAAGCTCTGAGTCTACTTGGGAGCCTGGGATTACCTAAGCAAATAAATAATTCTGAAATGAACCGATGAGAAATGAAAAGTAACCAGATAGGCAAAGTAGCTAAGAAAGTGTGACAGATTCTACCACAGAGCTCAGCAGAAATACAGACCTTGTTTTTCTTTGCATTTGTCCAACATCCACTTCGGTAAGCCCTGTCTTTGAGCCAACCCTCCCAGTGACTTTGGCTACTTGCTACATCATGCTGACTGACATAGGGAATACATATTGTGATGCTGTTCACATGCACCACCACCCCTGAAACCCTGAAACAACATGATGGTCTCCTGACACCACCACTTCGACAGAACCAGCACGCTGACCTCATCACACGAGCACACTCTTCAAAGAAACCAAAGAACTGAATCTTCCAGGAGTAAACATTCTGTCAAAGTACATCCAAAACAAGGGCCCCAGATCCCAAAGAAAAATTTGGTTTAATAAGTAGGGTAATCTATAGCTGTGTCCTGTCTGATACCAGCAGCTGTCTAGATTTCAAAAGAAACTCAGCAAATCTATTGTTTTCACCTTTTAGAGATAAGACCATTGAGAATCTAAGTTAGCAAGGGGCTGAAGCCTCTGAACACAGATTAGCCAGCTCTGTCCCAGACCCTGGTTCTCCCCTTGGTCCACAAAGCCCAATGTGAACAGAGCTGAGCCCAGGCAGAATTTCACTGTAACACCCCAACCTCCATGCAACCCCACCCCCTATTCCCTTGGCTCAGACACCCTAACTGGCAGGTGACAAATCACATTCTACTCTTAGGCAGTCTCTCAACACAAAACACATTCAAAGGCAAAGCAAAAGACAAGAGGATGGGCTTTACAAGGGCCTATACTTCCTTCTTACCCAGAGGAATGTTTTCATATCTGTAAACTCTGGGCAAGAAGAACCCATCATTATGTAATGTCAGAGGGCAGGCGACAAGGGGCAAGAGAAGCGAAGGCCCATCAACACTCCCGTCCTTCGCCCACAAGGATATAAATTTACGTCTGACATTTTGAGTGTTCCAGTGGCCTACACATTCACGACTGGCTTTGCAAAAGACGGCCACTGATCCCTGCAAATCTCTCAGGCCTCAATTAGCTGAATAGCCAAGCCAGAGAGAAAATACAAAAAGCAAAGATGAGGGAGATCTTGTCCAGGACTATGTGTCAATACAAGGGAAGAGTTGCACTGATGGAGAGCCGGTGTCCTACATGTCGATGCAGCTTTATTTTCTTTTCACCCGGTTGTGTTGAAACCCGGGACACTGCGAGGCTTTCAGCATCCCGAGTCTCTGGATCCAGCCCTGAGATGCACCGGGCAGGTGCAGCATCCCGCGGTTCTTCCGGCCGGAGCAAGGGGTTTCCAGCCTCTGACTGCTCTCTAAAGACGCCACCTCCAGCAAACCGCTAGGCTGTGCCATTTCCATGACAACCGCGGGCGCCATCCCGGTCTGGTCCCTCAGGTATCCGTGCGCCCCCAGCCCGCGGCCGGCCCCGAACCCCGGCTCCCAGCAGCCGCCGGGCCCGCTCAGCCCGTGCCGCTCGGCTAGGCTCGGCTCACCTACAAGGCGCTTCCCAGCGCGGTCGCCCGCCGTCCCGCTCAGCCGTCCTCCGTCCAGCAGGCCGTGCGCCCCGGCCTCCGCCCCGCAGCAGCGTCGCCGCCCGGTCGTGAAGACTGACCCGGGACTCCGGTGCTGGTCGTCCTGGCCCCGCCCACGGCGTCGGCCCCGGCTACGAACCCGCTGCTGGCGCGCAGCACAAACCCGACCACAGCCGCCTCAGCTCCGGACGCCTCGCGCGGGGCCCTGCCCAAATCCCGCCCAGGTCCCGCCCCTTCTCTGCGCATGCGCGCCCCGAGCCCGGCTAGCCCCGCTTCCCGCTGACTCCTCCCCCATTGGGCGGCAGAGGTGCTGGTGGTGGCTGCTGCTCCTGGCTTCTCCCAAGGTCTCATCCTCCCCTGTGGCTGCGTCTACTGCAAGTTTTTGAATTCCTGGCCTCCATGGTGGCGTTTTCTCTCTCAAATACCGAGACTTCTTGGAGGACCCACGACCCGGTGATGCTCTCTGGCCATCTCGAAGTGCAGATGCATCCTGAGTAATCCAGCCAGAAACAAGCTCTAAGATTGCAGTACTTGGAAAATACAGATTTGCATAAGCACAAGACTGCCAACATTGGAATACACATCCTTACCGACGTGTTCTGGCATAGATGTATAAATATCCATGTATAGATTTCCAGCTTTTACACTTCCTCTTCAAAAATCCATTTTCCCACAAGGAAACAGACTAATAAAAACTTTTTGAAAATACATTTGGGTTTACTTTCTTTCCTTCTTATTATTATTTGTTTATTTGTTTATTGAAACAGGCCCTAACTATGTAACCCTGACTGGCCTGGAACCCACAATAGATATGCTACGTGTGCCTCCCAAATTCTGGGATTAAAGATGTACACCATGCCTGGCTATTTAATTTTAGTTGAGCAGAGTCTCCTTATGTAGCCTAGGCTTACCTGGAACTGGCTACCTTCCTGCCTTTGCTTCCCCAGTGGAAATTTTTTTAAACTCTAATATGGCTTTAACATTTCTGCCTGAAGAAGGGGAAATACGGGGCTAAACATAAACATTTATTTTGGGGTTTTGTTTGTTTTTCTCTTATATCTTTCCAGGAAAAAGAATTTTAAAAAAAATGAAAACTATCTTAATTCAATTAAGTAAACTACTTCTCAGTGTTCACATCTCAGGTCTGAAAACAAGTAGAAGTCTATAATTTGCTTCGAAAAGGAAAGCTACTCATTTGTTAAAAATAGAAGTTTAAGTTGGGCATGGTGGCACACGCCTGTAGTCCCAGCACTTGGGAGGCAGAAGCAGGCGGATCTCTGTGAGTTCAAGGCCAGCCTGGTCTGCATAGTGAGTTCCAGGACACCTGGGGTTACAGGGAGACCCTCCTTCAAAAATACCAAAAAATGAAGAAGTTAAACAAGAATAATCTGGTGTCATTTAGAATTGGGTCTGATCCTCCAGTATCACTCAAAACCAAATGCAGATAACAGTCTGGAATAAAAAGAAACAACAAACAAGCAGTTTTAAATTTTTATTTTATGACATTTTATTTGTCTTCTTTATATTGTTTGTTGTTTTGTTTTTTGAGACAGGGTCTCATGTAACCCAGGTTAGCCTCCAATTCACAATGTAGCTGAGGTGCCTTTGCACCTTCTGCCTTCATCTCCCAAGTGCTGGGATTAAAGGTAGGTACTGAATAGCTTTAGCTGTCAACTTGACACAGCTGGGTAGGGGGAGCCCCAGTTGGGGAATTGCCTCTATTGGACTGGCCTGTGGCCATGTCTGTGGGGTATTTTCTTGATTGTTGTGTCATGTGGGAGGGCCCAGTCCACTGGGAGTGGTGCCACCCCTGGGCAGTTTTTTCTGTATTGTATAAGGCTGAGCATGGGTCCGGGGACCAAGTCAGTAAGCAGCATTCCTCCACGGTCTGTGCTTCAGCTCCTGCCTCCAGGTTCCTGCCCTGAGTTGCTACCTTGGGGTCCCTGATGAACTGTGACCTGGGAGATGTAAGTCAAATAAACCCTTTCCTCCCCAAGTAGGTATTGGTCAGAGTGTTTTGTCACAGCAATGGAGGAACAAGGTGTGAGCCACCACACCCAGTTTTATTTATCTTCAGATATCTTTGTTATCTTATTAACAAAACACATCTTTTGTTTCTTCAGATGAATGGAAAGAAATAATGACAGAACCTGGACCCTAAAACAAAACTAAAGTCAAGAAAATCAAACAATGAAAAGAGAGAGAGAGAGAGAGAGACAGCCGAAGAGATAGCTCAGCAGTTAAGAATAGTTGCTGTTCTTCCAGAGGACCGAGGTTCAATTCCCAGCACCCACATGACAGCTAACTGTCTATAACTCCAGTTCCAGGGGATCTGACTCCCTCTACTAACCTCTTCCAGCATTGCACAATTATGAGTGTACTTACATATATGCAGGCAATATACCCATGCACATAAAAAATAAAAATGAAAATGAAAAATAAATCCTATTTAATTTTCTAAAATTAGAGTGACCGATATACCTGATTTGCTTGATACAGTTCCAGGTTACATCTTTTATCCAGCAAAATTATTAATAGCATCCCCTTTCACTCCCAAAAGTGCTTCCATTTCGACAATACATTTTATGTCCAGGCTTTTTATAATCAATCTAAGAGAGTTTTCGAATCAATAGCCTTATTTTTTTTAATTTGAAAGTTTAAAAATAAATATGAATGCACTTCAACATCGATTTAATACAGTAATGAATTTGATCAGATTTCCAATATTTGTCACTTGATGCTTAAACAATTATGAATAATATTTAAAAATCAGTCATGTTTTCAGTGTGTTCAACACACTGAGTCCATTGTACAGTGAAAATTAGCAAGGGAAAGGGGAGCCACAGTGCTTAGCACATGTAGCAGGGCACATTCTCTACACATCACATGATGGATGGAGCAGTCTGCCCCTCAAAGTTCTCAACAATGGGGCCCCCAATACTGCCATCATGACAATCCTGGTAGGACTGAAAACAATCTAAGTTAACACTGTGTCCCTCCTTCTGGCTATCAAACTATTGAGACAATACACTCCAAGAAATCAGAATTTCCTCAGGAATTTCATGCTGGGAGAAAGAAAAGACTGACTCTCAACCAGAAGAGGAATCTGTCTCCTGGAAAGAGATGTCACACAAAGTGACAAGTTGTCAGAACACCCTGTAGGAGAGACTGGAACCCAGAAAATGAAGATGAGCTGTAACCTTGAACAGGACTGCTAAGCTACACATACCTCTTGCAGTCTATTTCAACAAAGACATCACATCAGGACCCAGGGAAAGGGACTGGGTGCGAGAGAGAAGGCCACCGGATCTCTCTGTTCCTCTCCCCAATGTAGTCACAATATATAACACTTCTTTTTTCTACTTTTCACTATTGTTTAATTGGCCTATTGAGGACTGTGGCTGCAGTCAGCCTCTTTGGGTTGCCAGTGCCCAGGCTCTAACCCTAATAACTCTAATAGTAGCATGAATTTTCTTTCAAAAACTTGCTGGGAGGGTTATGAGATGGCTTTGTGAATAAAGGTGCTTATCACCAAGCCTGACAACCTAAATTCAATCCCCATGACTCACATGATGGATGGAGAGAGCCAACTTCCAAAAATCATGCTCTGACCTCTACATATGCACTGTGACATGCACACACTCTTCCCCCAACACACATAATAAAAAATAAAATTTTAAGAAACTTGCTAGAATTATGAATTACCGCATCCCAGACCTGCTGAATCAAAAACCCTGAAAGTGGGACAGAGTGTGTTTATTTTTCATTGTTTTTATGTGTATGAATGTTTTGCTTGTGTATATATAAGGGCACCCATGCATGCATTGCCCACAGAGGCCTTAGGATGGTGTTGCATCCCCCAGAACTGATGGGTAGACTGCTCCAATGATGTCCTTCTATCATGTGATATGTAGAGCACAATGCCATGTGTGCTAACAAATGGCTCTTAACGACTAAGCATCTCTCCAGCCCTGCAAACTGTTTTTAGCAAGCCCTCTGGGGAATGCTGAGGAATATACCAACTTAAGCCATCTATGTACAATAAGTGATTCACATAATCCACATACAAAAACTAAGAGTTATCTTTAGGATTAAAGTAATCCTGTGTAAGAGTTTCTTTTTAGATCATTAAATAAGATGTTTATATGCATAAATAGTTTTGCTAGAAAATATATGTAGACTAGCACACCATCAGTTTTGAAGTCCCAAGAGCTAAGAAAGGCAGGACTCTAGCAGCCACTATAAAGGCCAAAAAGATTTGGAGCACCTCAGAAAGACTCATTCCCTTAAATCACTATGTGACTTGACAGCACCCCAAAAAAAAGTCCATTCCCAGGGCCCTATCTTTCATTGACATGACTAAGAGCTTTATGCAAATAGAGCAGTTCTTCAGGTACCTATTAAAGAAAAACAACCTGCAGCAAGTTAAAATTACAGCTGCCTAACCTGGTTAGAGCTAACCAAAGGCTTACTTAAAAAAAAAAAAAAAAACTTTGAAGGATGGAAAAGTGGGAGGGATAGGGGAGGGACTAGAGAGGAAGAAATGGGTTTGATCAAAACACATTAGATGCGTGTATGACATTCTTAATAAAAATAATAATAACTTAGGGACTGGAGAGATGGTGCAGCAGTTAAGAGCACCTGCTGCTCTTGCAGAAGACCTGGATTCAGTTCCCAGCACCCACATGTGGACTTACAATCATCTGTAACTTCAGTTCCAGGAGATCTGATGCCCTCTTCTGGCCTCTGCAGGCACTGCACACACATGATACATATACATATATGTCTGTAAAACATTCTTACACATAAAATTAAGTAAATCTTCAAATAATAACAATATTTTTTAAGTTAAAAGGAAAAAATGAGGAATGAAATGTCCATAGGGGAAGGAGTTAAAAAGATTAGGGATATTTCTGAATTCTAAAAGGATTTGCACATTTATACAGTCATGCACGTGCCCAGGAAAAGCTTGAAACAGCCCTAATTTTTCCACCTCTAGCTAACCTTGAGACTTTGAGCAAGCAGGATGTGAAGCCTAAGGAAGTCGTCAGCCTGAAAATTGAAGAAAGCATGCATAGGCCACACTATAAACACAGGAAAGGAAGGCCCTAATCCCAACACTTGAGGAAATCTTTAATCACTGGTGAACCACTAAGCTAACCAAAGCAAGAACCTGTTATGATTTGGTTGTGAAATGTTCCCTAG